ATCTTATTTAAAATGTAAAGTACTTTGGGTTATGGTGATTTGAGATGGTATTTGTAAATTTACACAAATTACTATATGATGAATATCTAATAAATTTATTTATTTTTAAATCACTAAAAATTAAATATTTAATAATAGAGCTTACATAAAAAAAATAAAAGGGTTTTTCTATCTGTACCCTTAAGACGTAAGATATAAATGCATTTATTATATCTTTTTATCATTAATATATATAGTAAAATTAAAAATTGATATTGATTTTATTAATTGTCCAATAAAAAATTTCATGTGTTAGATGTTAAAATTAATGTTAATTTTTTTTGTTTTTTATTGTAAATCCTATTATTAAATAATTAATTTTTAGTAATTTAAAAATAAATACATTTATCAAATATTTATCATATAATAATTTGTGTAAATTTACAAATACCATCTCAAATCACCATAACCCAACGTACTTTACATTTTAAATAAGATCAAATGTATAAATTATCTTTTAAAATTATCATATTAAAATAAATTGTTTTTCTATCTTGTGCCCTTAAGGTAAGAATAATGGTGCATTTATTGTATTTTTTTATCATTAATATAAATAATAAAATTAAAAATTGATATTGATTTGATCAATTATTCAATAAAAAATATCCATGTGTCATGAATATTAAAATTAATGTTAACCTTTTTATTTTGAGTTTATCTATCTTATACCATAAGAGTACAAAATAAGAATGTATTTATTGTACCTTTTTATCATTAATCATGCATTAATTTACAAAAAAAATAAAAATGTTAATATTAATTTTAACATCTATGACACATGAATTTTTTTATTTGATAATTGATAAAATCAATATTAATTTTTAACTTTATGTAAGGGTAAGTCCAAAGCTTCCCGCTCGAACAGCTACACAGCTGTTACGATGGACATCCTTGCATATAAACATATCTCAATCTTCCAATCCCGAAATAACTGCTTGGAGATACATATCAAATCCCAAATATCTTGCTCGGCTCAATCTCCCGGTCCCGAAGTAACTGCCTGGAGATACACATCGGATCCCGGATATTTTGCCTGACATCTTGATTGGCATGACGCGTGGATTCTTCATCGGAATATATAAATACCCCTTAAGGGCAACGCCAAAAGGTAATTGAAACCAACCCTAAGCTCCTGGTATCTCCGCTTCAAAGGTAACCCCGATTATTGCTGATTTAAGTATCGGAGTGTCTACCCCGAGGATCCACCTCGGGGCTTTGCAAGTCAATCTAGAGTGCAGATACAGACTGAAGAAGGGCTTCCGGTTTGATGCAGTTACATTTTGGCGCCGTCTGTGGGAAACTGAACTAAAGGCTCTTTTGTTGCTCTTACCATGGTTAAAACTAGGTCAGCCCGAGGTGGAAACTTGTCTCAGCCTCTTGGACGAGGTCAGATCCCCAGCAACCTTCCACCTCATCCTCCACCCCCAATCCCAAATACATTCCCTCCTGTTGACCATGCAGAAGGAGAAGACGAAAATCAACCACACAATTCGGTTAGCAACTCAGCCTCTACTGCTAACCAAGACGTAGTCGCAACTCAGCTCGCTGCCATGCAACAGCAGTTTGGTGTCTTTCAGCAAGTGCTGGCTCAGTTGTTAGCCCGGAACAATCCTGGTGATCCACTCATCAATCTACTTAATCCTGACCCACCACAAAATCCTGAACCAGTTCAACGTGCTCCCGTTGTTAGCGAATCTCAAGGCCAATCTCATATTGCACCAGTTCAGCAACCTCCTCGTGATGATGTTACTCGGCGTTTAGATAGCTTAGAAAAGCTAGTGGTCGAACAGCGAGGTATTCCACCTCCACACCCTGTTGCTGACTCTGTACCTCACCCTCTCAACACCAATATTATATTGGAACCCTACCTCGCTGGCTTCCGAATACCACAGCTTGAAACTTATGATGGGACAAAGGACCCCGATGATCATCTACATGCTTTCTACTCTTACATGCAGGCCCAGAACGCCTCTGATGCGTTAATGTGAAAAATCTTTCCCTCTACCCTCCGAGGTAATGCTCGCACCTGGTATTACAGTCTGCTTCTGAGGTCAATCAACTCATACACAGAACTGGCATCTGCTTTTGCCACAAAGTTTTCCAGTAGAAGGTTGATCAGGAAAACCACTTCCGAGCTGATGCGGGTTAAGCAGAGGGACGGAGAGTCTTTGAAGAATTTTATGAGCAGATTCAATGATGCAGTGCTAGAGGTTAACTCTTTCGACCAAGCAGTGGGCATTACAGCTGTGATCTCGGGTCTCGGCCATGAAAGATTCAGAGAAAGTCTGCTCAAACATCCCGCCACCACCTTCAGTGAAGTAAATGATAGATCATTGAAATTCATAACTGCTAAGGAATATGCCCTGTCGCAGAACGTCATCCCTGTCAAGAATCAACACCCAGACTGGCGAGATGAGAATCCGAACAGGAAACGGATGAAGACATCACAGAACCGAGGTCCGATGTCGACCTCGAGATTCGGAAGGCCGAACTCCGCACCTTCGCAACAACCTGCAGGTAAACCTCCAGTTAATTGGACTCCTTTTAATTTACCGAGGTCACAAATTTTCATGCAGATTAAGAATAAAATGGACTTACGACGTCCGGGTCCAATGAGAACTGCTGCTGCTACCAGAGACCATACAAGGTATTGTGATTTTCATCAAGATCACGGTCATACAACAGAGCAATGCAATAGTCTGAGGTTCGAACTGGAAAGCCTGGCGCAGAAAGGAATGCTGAATGAGTACATCCAAAGAGTAGAACAGCCACGATTTGTCAGGGAACAAGGGACGCAGCATCAAGGAGTCCGCAATCCCCCAAACAGGCAAGGTGTGGGATATCAGCAGGCCCCACCACCACTCCCACCACCAGCTAGAGTCATACACATGATTACGGGAGGTCTGGAAGCAGGTGGACTGAGCTCTAAGCAGAGAAAGTTGTATGTCAGAGAGGTAAAGCACCAGAACCGGGCTTAGAAGCGAAAATTTGACGAGGCTGAGTGGAAGAATCAACCCATCACTTTCACATCTGTTGATCTCGAAACAGTTGTCACACCTCACAATGATCCTCTAGTTACTTCCGTCACGATCAACAATTGTGAAGTGCAGCGAGTCCTTGTTGACACCGGGAGTGCACCAGACATCATGTACTTCCATTGTTTTGAGAGTCTTGGGATAGATCCGGCTCTGTTGCAGCAGTATGGTGGTCCCATCTACGGGTTCAACAACCAACCAGTCCCAGTTGAAGGAGTCCTCACCATGAATGTTGCATTTGGGAGTGGCCGAAGTTATGTGACCCCTACAGTGAGGTTTTCAGTGGTCAAGATGGCGTCCTCTTTCAACGTTGTCATTGGCCGACCTACACTAACTGAGATCCGAGCCGTGGTTTCCCAGTCTCATCTATGCATGAAGTTCCCAACTCCTACGGGAATAGCAACACTGCGAGGCAACCAGGAGGTGGCCAGGCATTGCTATATCACCTCGGTAACACAACCTCAGAAGGACAAGGCTCAGACACCCGAGATTAATCCCAAACCACGTTATGGGTGTTGAAATAGTAGATAACCGACCAGAAGATGAAACCAGAGCTGCTCCAGTTGAAGATGTGGAGGAGGTACAGATTGATGACAGAGATCCGAGCAGGAAAACGCAAATTGGGACTAAGTTGAACTCGGAAGAAAGAGCAGAGTTAATAGCTTTTCTTCGGGCCAATAACGATGTTTTTGCATGGACTTCAGCAGATATGCCGGGAATCCCCACTTCAGTTTTTCAACATAAACTCAGCACCAATCCCCTCAA